CACCCTTTGCCTCCATCTTCCTCTCTTTTAATCTCCCTTTCTATGACACTCCTGGGTGTGTCTCTCTAGCTCTCTGTCTCTCTATCTCTCTCTCTGTGTATCTGTCCACTCGTCAATTCATCCATCCTTCCATCTATCCATCCATCCACCTTCTTCTGGATGAGGGTGTTTCTGCCTCTCAGTTTCTCTTCTTTCTTTCTAGCACGTTCTCTATATGTTTATCTCTTTTCTTGCTCTCACACTCTCTCAGATTGTCTCTCCCTCCGTCTTTATCTCCTTCCCTCACTTATCACTTCTTCTCAGGGTATTAATATTTTAATAGCCTTAATGTCTTTCCAGGACCCTCAACCCTTTCCATGATTCAAAAGTGGCGGATCTCCCAAGAGCTTCAGTTCAGGGACTGTTGATTCTCTTCCTCCATCTACCTGTTACCCTGACCTCAGTCTGTATAAAGTTAGGAAGTGATGGGTAAGCTTGCAGCTCTCTTCCTCACATATTCTTTTTTGTCCCTGTACAACAGCCCTGAGCCTGAAGGATTTGGGATGGGAACCCAGAGTTGGGGGTAGGCAGGGGAGTGTCCTCTTTGGAGATACTCTTGGTAAAATTACTGATTGGTGGCGGTGGCATCCATGCCTTCTGGTGTTTTCTTTGTTTCACTTGAAAAACATTTACTTAACACAAGTTCTTACCAGGCCTTGTGCTGGGGGCTAAAGTGGAATGACTAAGTCATGAGCCTTTCACTCAAGAAGCTTACAGTCTCTCTGGGAAACCATAGAGTTGTTGATGAAGATCAGTAAGATAACAGGTTTAAACAATGGACTCAAAGGGAAAAGGAATTGGGCTTCCCTGGTGGCGCAGTGGTTGAGAGTCCGCCTGCCGATGCAGGGGACGCGGGTTCGTGCCCCGGTCTGGGAGGATCCCACGTGCCGCGGAGCGGCTGGGCCCGTGAGCCATGGCTGCTGGGCCTGCGCGTCCGGAGCCTGTGCTCCGCGACGGGAGAGGTCACAGCAGTGCGAGGCCCGCGTTAACGCAAAAAAAAAAAAAAAAAAAAAAAAAGGAAAAAGAAATAATTTCTTCTTGGGAG